GAGTTGCTGCATGTTAAACGAGTTGTTGCATGCTAGATCAGTTGTTTCTAAAAAACTATATCGGTGCTAAATTCGAGATAATGCTTTAAAAAATAGAAAATTTAGTTATCTGGATACGGTTGGATTCGAACCCAACGACAGAAATTCAAAAAGAATCTTCGCTTTCTCTTTCTCTACTACTCCAATATAGTCTTTCACGTACTCCTKTTTCAAAGGTTATATTTTTTTAGATTGTTTAAAAAAACTCCTCATTGAAGACCCAGGGACCGCGGAGCATGTTGAAAAGTATTGAAAAACGAAAAAGGAATAAAATCATAGTATTTGACTTGTTTCAAGTGTTTGTTTTTACTTTAATCATTTTTCTTTTTAGCGCAAAAAGTGGTGGGGCCGCGGCAATCTTTTGTCAGTCTGCTGCCCAATCTACAAATCAGCTAGAGGACTATTCTGATATTGAAGGAGAATTGGCTGCCGATATGAACAAGACTGCTAGTGATACAGACTCTGATATAAGTGCGGGAGAACTTGTTGGCTCAATCTTTTGTCAGTCTGCAGCCCAATCTACAAATCAGCTAGAGGACTATTCTGATATTGAAGGAGAATTGGCTGCCGATATAAACAAGACTGCTAGTGATACAGACTCTGATATAAGTGGAGAATTTGTTGGCTCAATCATTTGTAAGTCTGCTGCCCAATCTACAAATCAGCTAGAGGAGTCTGACATCTAAGGAGAATTGGCTGCCGATATAAACAAGACTCAAACTGATTTAGATGTTAAAGACGACAGTGATGAAATGGATCAAAGAGACGACCAAATGGAATGTCAAGATCAGTCTGCAAAACCAAAAGGTATATAGACTGTTGAAGCTGCAACAGTCCCTTTTTTCCCTTTTAACTCAATCAAGTCGAGTTTCCCCTAACTCTCCACGACGCTTCAAACTTGTCCCAACTCCCCGCGCGACCAAAACAGGCAAAAAAATCAACGCGACTGAGTTAGGAGCTAGGGAAAGGAGAGGCTGTTTTAACTGTTAAAACAGTATAAGAGGTTCAGCTTTTAGCCGGCATATGCTACTTGGTTGTTGAAATACGCCTTCCCGATATCCATTGTCACGAAATTAATTGAAGTGAATGCGAAGTTGGTAACAATAAATAAAGTACTTCAATAAATTCAGACAACCAATTCAGAAATTTGTGAACATTTTGTGATTGCAGGAAAACACAGATCAACCGTGCTATCATCGTCACAACTTACAAATGAAAAATGCTGCAGCGAAAAATGCTTAAGGAGGCTGTCGTTAGAGCAATTAAAGGAGACCCGTGATGACTTTTGAAAGGAGTATCCGACTTATGCGCTCCAGCGCAAGATGATATTGAAGTGGTTTGACAA